ATAGAATGGACGGAGGCCAATGGACACAGTGGAGCCGATCAAAGTACAACCTTCGGGACGCTGTTTCACGATCCACCGTTCAGGTTTACCCGAGGGCATGGACAGCTGTCTACGTAGCTTTAGATAATGTTGGGATGTGGAACATAAGGTCGGAGAATTGGGCAAGACAATATTTAGGGCAACAATTCTATCTCCGAGTTTACACATCTTCTACTTCGTACCGAGATGAGTATCCTCCACCAAAGAATGCTCTTATGTGCGGACGAGCTAGAGGCCGCCACACTAGGCCGTTCTAGAACGGATATCAAAATCCAACGGCTCAACTTTTTTTTTTTAATGATTGTATGATCTGAAATGTTAAGTATTGTCACGAGAGGGTGGCAACAAATGTGAGCTTCGTGGATTTGTTCACTACGGCAAGAAAGTTACGAAAACAATTTGGAGCTTGTCTTGAGCTTTCAATTTAATTTGAGGTCCAATTTTAAAATTATTTTCATTACGTGACAACAAGACTTACTAATCTGTATTTGCCATTCCACAAGAACCAGAAAAACTTGATATTAACTGATTGAAAAGGATTTTCGTATACTACTTAAAATGACAGCAGGAGCTTCAAAATTATGACAAATAACAAAAATTGGACCTCACTTTTTGGGGTCATACATATTAGTACGGGTTTTTAGGGCAACAATACTATCTCCAAGTTTACATTTCATCTAGACGAGTATTCGCCACCTAGAAGATCTCTAGGCCTAGAACCAGCTCTGAAAAAAAGAGAGGAGAATTTGTCATGGAAATTTAGGGGTCAAGATTAGACGGTTTGGTTAGGGGTCAAAATTAGTCCAGTTTCTTTTAGGGGTCAATATTGGTCACGATTATAGGCCCGAAACATTACATAGAGTGACAATGCCTCAATGTCAGACCAATCATACTAAAAGATTTGGATCAATATTGATAGACCTAAAGTCGCCGCCCGTTGGCGATTTAAAATGCAGTGAACACCATATATTACAGCGAAGTATTCCATATTTGGTCTTGCGTTCACACATAGTTTATACTTTATTCCATTGTTCTTTAGCTGCTTCCACTAAAACTACCGAGTACCAATCTAAGAGTAGACTTCTCCCATCTACGACTTTCTTCAACGCTAAGCTCCCTAATTCTTTATACGTATTGGAAATGTTAATCCATACCCATCCAAATCGATATGTATTTCTACATATATATATAAATGTTGAGAAATGTAATGGTTCTGGCATTAGCTGTTAGCAAACAAAATTAAATTCTTCATAATTAAAATGATTAACTAAAAGGACATCGCCTTTGCGTTTCAAGGTTCAAAATAAGCATTTATATTTTTTGTTGTCGAATACTTATACATATTTTTGAACGCTTGATATCCATATTAAAAAGTATTGTATTTCTTTGAAGGTAAGCATCATCAATCCAAGCGGTCAGTTCATTTGGATATCCAGCCAATTGCCACGATATCAGCAAGGTTATTATATATCTCAGTTATGTTAATTTTTTCAAACATTCAAACGGGTCATATAAGTCTAATTAAGTGGAGTTGTTATTTTCCCTCAATGAAATATGATTCTTACCATTGATTGGCAAGAAGAATGGATGGAATATAAATTCATGACTGTGCATTGAATATAAACAAATAAAGAGGTCTGATCCAAGAAGAATATAAAGGGAAATCTTAATTAGAAACAAAATAACAGCTATTAAAATGTTCGGATATGGTGTTATTAAGGGGTCGCATGTCGATGGTGATGATAATTTTCATTTATTTAAATATTATTTCTAACCTAATACAACTGGCTGGATATTGTTAGTCTCACGCAATATACCTTACATATACAAGGTATCGCAGAAATCAGATAATTATAAATATATAACCAAATAAAAAAAAAATTGTTCAATAATTGGTTAATTTATAAATATGAAATCGCCACACACACAAACACATAAGTCCTAACTACTCCTATGCATCTAAATAAACCAAACACCAAATCCTTATGTGCCAAAGCTTCTTTAAGTCACATGGGAGGGGTGGGACTAACTATTTTTTATATAAACTTCAGGAATATATATACATATTCATGTATATATAGACCAAAGTTCCTCAAATCAAATTATATATGACATGGGAGGGTGGGGCTTAACTATTTTTTTTTATATGAACTTCATGAATATATATACATATACATATTCATGTCTATATAGACCAAAGTTCCTCAAATCAAATTATATTTGACATCAAGTCAACATGTTGACTACACTATTTGAAGTTAAATGTTTCAAAACTCGTTGCTCAAAAAAGAAAAGGTTTCAAAACTCAAACTTTCAATATGGTAACGATGATGAAATAATTTAATTTCTTGGATAAATGTTAGTCTCACCTCACACAATATGCTAACTACTCCTATGCATCTACATATACCAAACACCAAATCCTTATGTCGCAAAGCTTCTTTAAGTCACATGGGATGAGACTTAACTATTTCATATGAAGCTCAGGAATATATTATATATATATATATATATATATATATATATATATATATATCATATAGGCCATAGTTCCTCAATTCAAATTATGACATCAAGTAACAATGTCGATCACACAGTTTGAAGTTAAAGGTTTCAAAACAATAAGAAAATATATGTTTGGAAAAATATTATGAAAACATAGTGCATAATGTCATTATCATCAATAATTTATCTGTAAATTTCTTAAAAATATAAAATAAAAGATGAAACTAAAAAGAAATTAAGAAAGAAAATGAAAGATTTCCTCATATAAAAGATTCTAGCAATCTGATGAGAATTTATTTATACATATGGCTAGAATCTTTTATATGAGGAAATCTTTCGTTTTCTTACTTAATTTCTGTAAATTTTCATCAGTTTCATATAAAATTTTCATTTTCTTTCTTAATTTCTTTCAAAATTTCAAATATTAATGTACATAAACTTGGAATCTTATATTGAAGCAAATTATAGAAATATTTACATTGTTTATAGCTTCCTAACATATTAGCCGGTTTTGTTTATACACATATCATCTTTTAAACAAGTA